CTCCCTGTCAGAGACACAGCAGACATCAGTTGATCTGCTGAGCCATCTTAAGCAGATACGTATACTATTGAATAGCGCTGAATGAATCACTGGTAGCCCTGACTTGACGCATGCGCTGATACAATACATGCTGTGTTGTGTAGTTGTTTTTCGTCACAACGAAAAATTTCGTGTTTACATAAAGCAACTCACTCTTCGCACTCGGAAGTGCAGAACTTGATAAATCAGAGAGTTCAACGATTTTTAATACGAATGATACTATTGGATAGCCCTGAATGAATTGCAATACAATTGATTCGCGCTGATTGAATCGCTGATTGCTCTGACTCACCGCTTACACTGATACAAGACATGCTGTATTGTTTTTTCGCCACAGCGCAGGATTTTCGTGTTAACGAAAAGCAGCTCACTCTTCGCACTCGAAAGGGAAGAAAGTGATGAATCAAAGAGTTCAACAATTTTGACGGTAAATGCTGTGAATTTCTACTGATTATGGCCAATCTGTTGTTTCCGTGTGTCCTTGGAAGAATGCGGCTTTCAAAAGATAAAACCTCCGTTATGAGCTCTAAATTGACGTTCACTCTACGCTCAATGTGGGACCTTAGGTCAAGGGTCTCTACAACAATATTCGCGAAGGGAACTTTTATAATTAAAGGAAACATTTTGTTAAACAGTTATTTATAGTATGAGATGTTAAAAGTTGAACTTCATTCGCGAGTGAAGAAGATTAGTTTCTGGGATTGCTCGATTGACGTAATTCCTTGTGCAAATAAACCTCGATTAAATCCCGTGTTTTATACAATTTTTTTGATCAGTTTTATCATTTTTAATGAATTTTCTTCAATTTTGTTGTTGTTGTTTGAAACATTTAAGAGGCAACGGTCGTGCAAACCATCTTCAGGATGCAGCGTAATTGACCAAAAAATTTGTTTAATCACTTTCCTTAGAAAGAATACTTACATAAATGAGTGTTAAATTCAATTGAATTATCACGTATAACACTGAAATAAATATTTTCCATCCCTTCTGTTCACTATAAAAATAACGCCCGATCGACCGACCTACCTGACACGAACGACCGACGTAGGTACCGATTGCCTCTGTACATCAATTCATGTCATTCGAGTCCCGACAATGGCAGGATTTGCGATACTAGCCACATCGAGGTCGAATTCGGTCACTGTATGGAGGACAATTCTAGCGACCGGCTGCTCTGTTCAGAAGTTTTCTATGGTTTTTCCGATCAACACTAGGCGAATGCCCGAACAGTACCCTAACAAACGAGCCACGGACCACGCGCGATATTCCCTTCCTCATCCTTATCAGATCTTCACTCCCTATTTACCCACACTTACACTTACACTTACTTCATGCACTACACTACCATATATGCCTGATTGTGCCGACTGGGGTAATGCTCCACTGGTGGGAGATACCTTGTTGGGGAAAATCCCGCAAGAAACGGGTACGTCGGCGCCCGATTTCCCCTCTGGCTGGGGGATCACCGCCACCTCCCGCAATATAAATATGCACTACACTTACAGGACTAATGACCTTAGCAGTTGACGCGCCTGGAATCATTAATGGTTCAACCAAGCTACTTTCTGAGTGGATGCTCAAGCTCTTTCCGCAATCGGTACCATCTGCTTGAGCGCTGGTGAGCGATTCCGTGCCGAGCGTTCGAGACTGTTGCTCTCGTGAAAGCTGTTTTGGCAGCCTTGCCCTTGCCTCTTCTGTCTTTGTTCGTTTCATGGAGGTTGGCTTTTTCTTATCAGCCGTCTTTCCACATCCCCCAGAGGAGCTGGGGATTGGGAAAGAAAAAGCTTAGTTAAAGATTGCGATGAGTTATTTCGTTGAGGGAAGTAAGTTTGAAAGTATTGAGAGAGAGGAAGGGCCAGAAAGGTTATTTTGTTGAGGGTTGTAAGAGTTGTAAGAGATTCGATTTGTTGGAGAGTGTTTTAATATTTGCTTGAGGAGGATTTGAGGGATTATTTTGTTTAAGGTACCTGCCATATTTTTTCTAGAAATTTTCATTTATGTTTTGAAGAAGTGGGCAATTCATTTGGTGCGTTTAGTCAGTCGTGCCATCCGTTTTCAGTTAGTGTGATGTCAAGTCGGAGGAGGAGGAGGGAGTTTAGGAATGTCAAGGGGATGATTTTTGAGGGAGGTTATTGGTTGGGAGTTGAGAGGGTGAAATTGAAGCTGTAGAAAATGAGAAAGGTGGGATTTGTAGTGAAGGAGAGAACTGTCTTTTAGGATATTTGGAGGATATGCTGCAGTAGGGGAATGATATTTTGCTGTGTTTTGAAGCGGATGAGGTAAGGATGGGTGGATGGGTGTAAGGATGATAAATGAGCCTGATTATTCGGTTTTCTATTACGTTGAGTTGTGGAGTGTTCTGTGTTCGTAAGGTGAGTTAGCGCTCGCTGCTTTCTCTGCGGCGCTGCCGCTACCGACATCCCTTACCTGGGGCGACACCCCTTGTCTGAACGAATCAGCGGATTCTTTTACAAATGCTTTCATTCTCGGCACTGGAAATAAATGTACCCTCCTCGGTGGATTCCTGTCACTACACTATCCTGTTTCCTCTAATTATAAGTTGTGTAGCTCTTTTCTCTCTCTGTCTCTGTCT